CACATTTTACATCCCCACTGGCCGATCAGAGGGTAGCGGCATATAGCACTGGCGATGAATTACAAATATTAAAATTGATATTGAAATTTTTTACATGGAATTCCAGGGCTCAAAAGCAGATGGCACAATTTCTAAACTTTTTGCTGGCAGAATGAAAACTTACATTAAATGTGTTAACATAGACTATGAGTTCTTACAGATTGAAGATTACTATGGTAGAGGCAAAATATTATTATATTAATCAAGAGTTCTGTTTATAATAATTTAATGGTAACTTATGTGTACTCCCGATAGATATTCAACTTAACGTTAAAGGATGTAAAACTCTAGATGAATCTTTTATGAAATATATGCAAGTAAATTTAGATGGGGATAATAAATATGACACAAGTGGTTATGGTTTACAAGTATGTTTCATATTATTTATTACATATTTATTTGGTCTATTTCTTTAATAGTGAAGATGATAAATTATATTTTTTTAATCTATATTTATAGGTTGCCAAAAAAAGTGTAATCTTTGAAAGTTTTCCACCCGTATTGCACATACATTTGAATCAATTTGATTATGATGTGCAGAGTAACACTATGGTCAAGGTATAAATATTTAAAATCAACTATATTAAATTTTAAGCATAATACTTATACATCTTTCTAATAATTTTAATTGATTACTATTATATTATAGTTAAATAATCGTTACGAATTTCCTATGGAAATTGATTTACAAAAATATTTGTCACCAGATGCAGATAAGTCAAAACCGTATAAATATTTATTACATGGGTAGGTACAAAATTAATTTTTCGTATTATAATTCCTATTCAGAAGTGGTTTAAAGAATTTTTATTAATTAAGTTTGTATGGAATGTTTATCGCAATTAGTGTACTTGTTCACGGTGGTTTGAGTAAACATAATTGTCGGTATTATGCATTGTTAAGACCCGAAAAAAATCATAGATGGTTCGTCAAATTTATTTTTACGACCCTATTATGTGAATTGCGACTAAATTATATATATATATTTTAATGATAAGGATAAAATTTGATGGCATTCGAGTTATTCCAGTATCAGTCAAAGAGGTGCTTGAAAATAATTATGGTGGTAGTGATTCTCCGTATCATAATGTATATATGTTAGTGTATATTCGTGAGTCCGATATCGATGAAGCACTATCTTCGATACTTCTTGAAGACCTCCCAAAACATTTGTGTAAGCGGAATTTATTTGTGCTATAAATAAATTATTTCATTCTTTTTAATTCAATATTATGTTTATTTTGTAGGTGAAGAAGAAAATGCTATACGTGAACAAAAGCAAAAGGAATTAATAGAAAATAGTCGATACATGTCGATAAAGGTAATTTTTATTTAAACCATTGAACATAATTTGTGATTATGATTATTCGATTAATTAAATTTCATCATTATTAGGTTATAACTGAGGAAATGTTTAAAAGTCACAAAGGATTTGACCTTGTTAACTTTAATAATCAGAAATATCCGCTATCTGAAGTTCCTCGTTTTAAAGTTTTAAAAAAATAGTACATATGGTGCTTTTAAGAAAATGATCGCTGCAAATTTTGAAATCCCTATTGATCAAATAAGGTTCTGGATAATTATAAACCGACATAATAAAACTATTAGACCCCATACAGTTATAACAGATAATTTTCTTAACAAATGTGAGTTGCAATATTTATTATATTATTTCCATTTTATGCTTTAATAAAATTATTTAATTTTTCATTAATGTTAGCGATGAAAGAAATCAAGGAGAAATTAGTAGGAGGATGTA